ACATTTGTATTTACACATACCATTCGGAGGGTTGTTACATGTGTGTAGTTACACAAACATTACAGCTGTAGATACTATGTACCAATGTGTACTTACACTGTGGTTACATACTATGTACTCATCTAGTTACTATGTAAGTACACAGGTATTAGGGCCACTTAATATAAAGTGGGACCACTAAAAAGTCTGACTGCAGTTTCAACAAGCACAATTCTTAAGACGCATCTCTGATCTTGTACACAAAACAACAAAAATGTTCACAAACATGCAGCGTATTTCCTTTGTCCACTATGATTTCCCCTCCATGAACTACTAACTCTCATCAATAAAGGCTCAGCATGAACAGTATTATTACCTTCTCTTTAAGCCTGCTACACTGAAAGCAGTGTCAGAGACACAAAACAGAGCGCAGAACATGCAGGGGACATGAATCACTGTGTATCAACACACACACACACACACAAGCCATTGATGTGCCATTCTGACTAATACGTTAAATACGTTAGAGAAAACAGGATATATGACTTAAGGAAGGCACTTCAGTACTTTTGAAGTTTGTGTGTGTGTGTTTCATTTTTTTTTTAATCCCTCTTCCTACAGTGTCACCATCTTTTTCTTGTTAGAATGAGGTGTCTAACAAATAAGACCTATGAGAACAGCTTCTGAACTAATCTGGGGTTTGTCAAGAACACAAACAGCAAGATGTTAAAAGCCAAGAAAATGTTTAAAAGAGTGATAAAAATAAGAAATGATTCCGAAATAAACTGAAACGGCAAACAGGCAATAATTTTTCAGTGTGTTATTAAAAGTACTAATACACATCCACCGCGATAGTCAAATTAATAAATCCTTCTCTTCCCAGAACAGTATGGCACAGTGCTGATGGTAGTGAACAGTGCACACACATTCATTTGCATTAAAGCAAACCTTGCAAGAAACATTTCAATACATACAAATATTCACGCTTTCTAAGGCTTGACTATGGAGGCTATTACCCAATCCAGTGTAGCGCCTTTTCCCATCAAAATAGAGAAACTCATATGTTGTCATAGAAACGGGTATAGAATGGCGCGCAGGCAAAGTAAATACGCAGTGTCATGGCCTTAGCAAGCAAAGCCTGGGAGCGAGAATCACATCTCAAAAATAAATATCAGCCCTATTGTGGACAGACTACAAAGGAAGAGACTGCCAAACACACACACACACACACACACACACACAGAGAGAGAGAGATGTGATCATTTTTAGCATGTTCAAGGTTCATGTCATTCCTAAGGAATCGGTTAGGTGATGACCATTTGCGTAGTGATAATAACCAATAGATTTTATTAGTGCTATCACCATGTGCCTCGTAGAGAATTAGGAGGCCATTAGGACCTCCTCATTTGATTTTTTTAATGATATACTGACTGGGGAATCAGGTTCTTTCTTACTGAAATCATAATCCTGCCACCTGTTGGACAAAATCAGAACTGCAGGTCCAGGCTACACACATATCTGTTAATCCAGAGCACCCTTACAAGCTTTGTGTGTGTATTCAAAGGTTCGGAGTAAATAAGATTTTTAATGTTTTTGAAAGACGTCTCTTATGCTCACCAAGGCTGCATTTATTTGATCAAAAATAGTAATGTTGATTTCCTGTCTTTTGCTACAGATGCGCACACACATACGCTATGCCTCTGAGACGTGTAGGCCAACATAAAGCAGTGCTTCCCTCTCTCCTGTGTTTCTGGTTGATCAATGGCCAGAAACAGTCATGGTGCAAATGAGACAAAATGAAGCAGTACGCCTTGCTCCCGTACAAATGAGTGCAGCCCTCATAAACTACAGTAGCAACTAATCTTTATGTAGCTTTGCCAGAAGGGACATAAACCAGGAGCGACTTCAAACTGTGATGAGAGTAAGACAGAGGGCAATTTGATGCATTCCCTCCCACCCTTTCATTTTCATCTGCATGCGCTATTGTGACGGTGTGTGTTTGCTGGTTTATGGTCTCTATGAGCACCGGTGACAGCCCTTCTTTGAGTAACTAATGACATAAGGTTGAATGAGCTGTAGAATTAAGACCGCTCAGCTTTTGATCTTTTTATCTTTTTAGGGTGGGGGAGTGGCTGAAATCAAAAGGGTCACACATAAAACCGTGTGTGTGTGTGTGTGTGTGTGTGTGTGTGTGTGTGTGTTTGGCCAAGCGAGGGTGAGTAAGTGCACAGCACTCAAATATTATATGAAAATAAATGGAATATTATAAAATATATTCAAATAGAAAACAGCTATTTTAAATTGTAGAAATATTTAACAATATTAATGTTTTTACTATATTTTTGATCTAATAAATGTAGCCTTGGTGAGCATAAGAGAGAGAGAAAGCAATTCTGTCACACACTTTCCTTCCCGACAGATATTTTTGGTTTTGTTTATTACATTTGATGAAGTACTAATACAAACACTGCCCCATAAAACGCACCAGCTATAGCTCTCACAAGCTTTTAACAAACTAGCCAGTTTCATTTCCTCCAGTTACTGAATGTAATTTGCTATATATATATATAGAGTAACTAATGACATAAGGTTGAATGAGCTGTAGAATTAAGACCGCTCAGCTTTTGATCTTTTTATCTTTTTAGGGTGGGGGAGTGGCTGAAATCAAAAGGGTCACACATAAAACCGTGTGTGTGTGTGTGTGTGTGTGTGTGTGTGTGTGTGTGTTTGGCCAAGCGAGGGTGAGTAAGTGCACAAACCTAGGTGTGCTGGGAGTATTGGTTTGTACAAATGTGTAAAAATGTCTTTAGCATCTTATGTGTCCTTGAACTTTATGTGTACATAATATAATCACAAAGCCTCAAGCTTGCAGAAAACACACAAACACACATGACCACATACCTTTTTCGAACCGGCGAAGCCCTCAGACTCCAGGAAGAAGTAGGCAAAAGGCATCAGCACAAAGAGACAGAGATTTGAGAAAAGGGACACCAGGTTCCACAGGCCTGAAGAAAGATAAATCAGTTCATTCAACTTTCATTTCATTTCAACTTTAAGCTCAGCTACTTAACCTGATCCATATCATTTAACATAATAACAGCAATTGGATAACAATCCCCCCATCCCTTGTTCATTAAACATTTTGTCTAATTTGATTATAGTTGGTATGGTTTAACACATTTAAATCGATTCCACAGATTTTTCCTCCAAAACAAATGAATTAAAAAAAGTTCAAGAATCAAACTTCTAGTCTTCATTTTTTTCAAAACCCCAAACATTCTCATCTAAAACAACCCAAAAAACTGCTCTCAAAGGCTCAGGTTAACAGAGAAACCATCTGCACAAAAAACAGACACATGACACCACCTTGTGGAGATGACTGAAGCGAAGGAGAAAAATACTTCGAGCTGTATTGAAATTATTATAAAGAGTCAGGAGTAGTCAGGTGTATGGCCTCAGTAACATACTGTATGCATTGTTCAATGCACAAATCATTTAATAACCACTTTCTATGAAACACAAATTAAACTTTGTAATTTTGATTAAAAGTATCCAAAGGTAAGGACAAATAACATAATGTGTTTTTAGAAGAACAAAGTAAACCGTTAGCAGAACACAAGCAGCATTTATTTCTGCAACAGTCTGTGAATGTCACCTAATGCATGACAGACAATAGGTACAACCTTATGCAAAACTACTTAAGTAACACATATTATAATAAAATAAAAAAAAGGTGTGATACTGAGTCTGACCATGAATAAGTGATCCATTGAGCCATTGTATGTAGAAGTTTTTTGGTAGGGAGAGCACAATCTCATAACTGATTATAGAAAATGGTAAGAGAAGGACAGCTCCTCCAGACACTGCCAGTGTGAATGTACACAGGTACATCCTGAGAAAAGGCGGAAACAAAGTAAAAAGTTAGTGAAAAGCATGGTAATAATTCTTGTACATTATTATGAATGATTTTTAATCAGTTTTATTTTCACATTTAAGGTAATGATGTAACAATATGGGGTTACATTAAGAAAATACAAGTGACTACAACTCAAGGTACAGTGGAAGATTTTATAAGAAAATGTTAAACTAAGGATTCTTTGATATTAAGCTGTATATACCTGGATCCTTTAAATGCACTATAAAAAAAACAGCACTTGTTATCATGCCAGATATGGTCAGTATCAAACAACTCACGATATTCTGTTGACAATGGCATCCTCATCTTCCTGATCATCTGTTGGCATAAGAAAAAAACATAAAATCAACCAATAAACCAGACACAGATTTAAAGTCATTTTGTTTTTGATAGAGATTATGTTCTTAGTGCTGTGATGCTCTGACAATCTTTATCAGAAATAACAGTCAGCGTTTTTTTTCTTTCTTTTCTTTACTGTGAATTTGCAACACAAACAGCCTCAGCTACAGAGGTCACAGAAACATGACAGATGTTTTAATAAGTCTAAAGCATGATCTGTCTTCATTTAACTAAAAGCTACTTGAAAACAATACTGGTTAATCATAAATCACAAATATGTGAATAAACCTTTACAATCAACGGCCAGATGGAGGCTGTCAAGAGTCAATGCGGGTTCGAGAGTAGAGGAGAGGAATGACTTAAGAAGTGGCAAAAAGCGTAAGAGAGAGATGGATAGAAAGTGCAGAACAGCACTTTAAACTAATTACACAAATTGCATTGAAAAAGCCTCTACATGAGGCCTGAGGTCCTAGAGCTTTACAGTCATGCTTCACAATAGCAGCTGTACTTTTATAGAGACAGGAGTCTTTAGAACAACCTAGTTTCACCTGCGATCACCGCTCTCCACAGGGGTTAACTGACATTACTTATACTACTTTTAAATAGGAGGGCATGACCTGATCAGGAACTAAAATCGTCCTCATGTGTAAAGGAGGCTTGAGGTGGCAGCACATTGTGTTATGGAGTTGGATAATGCTCAAAAGATTACTATAAGGTGTTATGGAGTTCTAAAAGGTGTAAACCCCCTAAAAGTGTGCAAGCAACCAAACAACCTGTCCTTTTGTCATCTAGGAATTTGATCTACACTAAATCTGAGGAGCTCACAGGTATTATATTATTAAGTTATAAATATTAATATGGGTAAACATTAATATATAAATATAATTATACATAGTAAATATTATAAATACAATTGCATTTAAATAGTACAAGAGTTTGATCAGAAACAGAACTGTATTATTCATGCTTACCGCTTTTTCTCTTGTAGCGTGAGATGATGCAGTACGACACAATGTACAGCACTGCAAACAGGAGGAAGCAGACCTAGAAACACACGAGACCGGAGTGTATTTTAAGAATATGGACTGATGGATGTGTGTATGTAAACATGCCGTTCATGTTTGAACTTTTACTCATATTACACCTTGCTTGTATCCTCAGAGAACTACAGAGCACTAACAAAGTTCTGCATTAGATAAATGCAATTGTGCTCCAACATTAAAATAAACCTACAACAGGGTTAAGTATCTGTTAACACAAGGAATTCAGATGAGAAGGAATTCATAGCTCAGGTTGCTTTGGAATAACAAATAACTTCTATTAAAGCATAAATAATATGCTTAACAACCCTTTGCAGAGTGAAGCACAGACGTTTTGTGTGCTCCACTGGAAGACAGCACTCAAAATCCACACCTCCAGACAAACCCAAAGTATTTCCATTCTCCAAACCAAAACCTAATAATACAGGAACATTCAGCAAATCTGCTCTTTAATGAACTGTATTCATAATCATATTTGTTATTAATTTTAAAGCTTGACAATGTCAAACACTGGTCAGCAGTCTCACAAGCTAAAGAGCCCAATATAAAATTTTGTGATGCCTGCTAGGGAAAGTCCACAAATAATAAAACCCAGAATATTATAGCAACAGCAAAGTGACATCCAACAGATTTCAGATTTTTACTGAAATCTGGCATATAGCCACATAAAAAAAATAGCATACTAAAAATTATTACATTGATATTTATCATTAAACATGGCTTCTTTCAAAATATATAATGTATATATGTGACCCTGGAGCACAAAACCAGTCTTAAGTAGCACGGGTATATTTGTAGCAATAGCCAAAAATACATTGTATGGGTCAAAATTATAGATTTTTTTTTATGCCAAAAATCATAAGGATATTAAGTATAAGATCATATTCCATGAAGGTATTTGGTAAATTTCCTACTGTAAATATATCAAAACTTAATTTTTGATTAGTAATATGCATTGCTAAGAACTTCATTTGGACAACTTTAATAACAATTTTCTCAATATTTCTTGATTTTTTTTTTGCACCATCAGATTCCAGATTTTCAAATAGTTGTATCTCGGCCAAATATTGTCCTATCCTAACAAACCATACATCAATGGAAAGCTTATTTATTCAGCTTTCAGAAATCTAAATTTCAAAAAATTGGTTTTGTGGTCCAGGGTCACATAATATAATACATAAAAGTGTTTCCAATTTTAGCAACAGCTAGAACATTTCCAGGTATAATGTTCCTCTGTGAAAGCTACAGTCATAAACACTTGTGCTGGAAATAAATGACATATGGTCCAAAGTAGGGCTGCACGATAAATCGCATGCGATATTTAATACGCATCTTGTCAGAAAGCCGGTTCTGTAATCAGCGGTAAATCTCCATCACCTGCGGGCTTCAGCCCTAGTCCAAAGCATTACTTATTTGTTGACAATTTTCAAACCATTCTAACTGATGCTTGCAAGACTATTACAAATAACTCTCACAATGCCTAGATGGCCCTGAGGCATTAACCATTCTTATTCTTGAGTTCTGCATTAAAAACCACTCAGAACCCATTAAAGGGGTCATATGATGCTATTTTAAAGATCATTATTTTGTGTGTTTGGTGTAACAGAATATGTTAACATGCTTTAATGTTCAAAAAACACATTATTTTTCAAATACTGTACATTATTGTAGGTCCTCTATGCCCCGCCTCACTCAAACACGTCGTTTTCAACAAAGCCCCTTCCTTTGACAAGCGCAGTCTGCTCTGATTGGCCAGCTGACCCAGTGCATTGTGATTGGCCGAACACCACAAGCACGCGTCGGAAA